ACTGACATCACCATGACTAAAATGTTGCATAAGGCTCACAGGCTCAGTTATCTTGTTCTCTGTAACCTGCCTCTTCATATCATCACAACATCGCCCAGCTGGTCTCTGAGCTGTATACAACAACCCAGAGATAGACACAGAGCAGAGCAGCCGTCACAAACTCCTCCTCCCTCCTCTTCCTCCTCTTCCTGTCTTATCATTCTCATTGATAACTAGACAGCAAACCTCTGCACGGCAGCTCAGTGTCCTCATAATGACGTTCCACCTAAGAGCAATACTCCCATGATATTGTGAGCCTCATAATATGATTCCTTGAAAATCTACCTGCGGTGTTTGGAATCACATTGAAGTCATTAGCAGGTTGAACATTGTTCAAGAAAAACAATGTTTCACTAATGGCGGTTTTCTTCTAATTTTTGAAGCTACGTTGAATCTGTTGACGCCTGACAGCAGAGTTTCAGCTAGAATTTGATCTTACCTGCATAAAATAAAAATCTTTAAAAACACCTCACACATCTATAGTTTCACTATAAAAAGTCTCAGTAATTTCCTAAACCAGCTGCCTACTGTAGTTTTGATCAAGCAAACAGGAGGAAACTGTGCCTTTGTCAGGGACTATTTTCAGTGGTGGATGAATCCACATTTGGCCTCTAGTGAGTGCTTGTGGCAGCAGGATGGTGTGTGTGGGACCCAGTCGGAATAAACTCCAGCGTGTGTGTTCACTGATGGTTTATAGTGTCAGGACACAGTGGAGCTCTGTGGCTCACAGGGAGGAGAAGCATCAGGCTGCGACACACACAGGGTTGGTGTTTTCATGGCATGTGTTGACAACCATAAAAATATCACCAGACTTTTCCTTTCAGCTTAAACTTCCTGACAAGTTTCCAGAACATTTAAATAAGGACCTTTTTCTGCCTTTTCCTTCCGAGCTCTCTCCTCTTCTTCTTCTTGTTTCTTGGCAGCCACTGTGGAGGAAGCAGAAACCGGCTCTGGTCAGTGATGGACACCTGCTTCATATGTGAAGTTCAGTTTACAGCAAATGCAGCAGGAAGCTGTGCTAATGGTGAACGTACAGTCAGCATAATCATATTCTTCATACCAGGGACCTACGTATGGGACGGTGGTGGTTTCCTCTGAAACAGAAGCAGACAGATGTTTACAGCTGGAGGGTGAGTCTTGTGTTTACACAGCGACTCCTCCAGGTCACACATTTAAAAAAGCAACAGAAAACAGTAAAGGCGCTTTTCCACCTCCTGGTACCGACTCGACTCGCTTTTGGTCTTGGGTGCTTGGTTTTCCACTGCAGACGGTCCCCTCTCAGTGTAGATGGTTGTCATAGCGATGACGCATTACACTGCCATGATGTCGTCAGCGACCAACACAGTAACAGTGGAGGACATCGAAGATATGCTGTTCTTGATTCTTGATATGTGGCTGTTTGGAATCAGTACAGTAAAGTAGGGCTTAGCGTTAAATAATGCTACTCTTAAAAATGGCGCTTTCTTTGTTCCAGGACGTCTCACATGTTGATGACGTGATTTCTCTGACCGGCCACTGGTCTGTAGTGTTTACACATCAGTGTTTGGTATCGCCTCTGCTCGCTTGGAACCTCGATGGAGGTGAAACTAGTACCAGGTACCAAGTCCTTTCCCCAATGTTCGACTGATGGAGACACAAATAGGTCTAGTCGAGTTGAGCCGGTACCAGGCGCTGGAAAAGGGGCTTAAGAGGACATTGAACTTGTTTCCCACTAGTCGGCGATGTAATACAATATTTAGGAGTTACATAAAAACAGTCTTAGTTTTTTTTACAGACTTAACAAGGTGGGTTGTGTATTAGTGCTGAATCATTTTTATAATGAGTTGGATTAATTCTGTAGTGTCATTTAACTAATCTGTGTTTGGGGCACAACATTATAGACTAATCCACAAATCATCCTTTGCATTCACAGATCCATCTAACCAGCTCACCATAAACAAAAAATGAAAAATGAAACACATTTCCTCAAACAGACTGCACACCAGAGGCATACCTGGTATGTACATGATGGCCTCAGTAGTGGTGGTTTGTTTCCTCCTGGGCACTTCATCTGTGAATGGCACAGCACATAGTTTTATAGATATTAAAATCTGCTTTGCAAATAATTTTCAGACATGATCACGTAACTGTTTGATGGGAAAATCTCTGCAATCAGAATCAGCTTTACTGGCCCAGTATGTTAAACCCACATGGAACTGGGCTCCGGTACAGAGGCCCTCAGTGTGCGTTCAATAAAGAAAGATTATGTGTATAGGAAGGAAACAGAAATAGGGAAAAATAGACAGAGTCAAAACAATCTGATAATAAATGCAGTATATATACTGTACATGTATACAATGTGCAGAGGAGGAGATGGTAAAACAACCACATGGATTCTGATCTGACCATCTTGACAGCGCTCACATCGTCAGAGGACAGAGAGGAATCAGGTCTAGGAGCACATACAGTATGTAGGTGGCCCAGATTTAATCTGAGAACTTCTGGTTTGGTCTGTT